AAGACGGTGAGTTTTCTAGGGCATGTTATTTCGGGTGGTGGTGTTTCTATGGATCCATCTAAGGTGAGTGCGGTGTTACAGTGGGAACCGTCGAAGACGGTAACAGAGGTTAGAAGCTTTTTGGGCTTAGCAGGGTATTACCGAAGATTCATTGAAGGCTTTTCTAGATTGGCTTTGCCGTTGACTCAGTTGACAAGGAAAGATCAAGTGTTTGTGTGGGATGCAGCTTGTGAAGAGAGTTTTGAGGAACTGAAGAAGAGATTGACTTCAGCGCCGGTTTTGGTGTTACCAAATTCATGTGAACCTTTTGTGGTATATTGTGATGCGTCCAAAATGGGATTGGGCGGAGTTCTTATGCAGAATGGAAAAGTGGTAGCCTATGCTTCACGGCAATTGAGGGTGCATGAGCGTAACTATCCTACTCATGACCTTGAATTGGCTGCGGTAGTTTTTGTGTTGAAGATTTGGCGACATTATTTATATGGTTCGAGGTTTGAGGTATTCAGTGATCACAAGAGTTTGAAATATTTGTTTGATCAGAAGGAGCTGAATATGCGGCATAGGAGATGGTTGGAATTCTTGAAAGATTATGATTTTAGTTTGAGTTATCACCCAGGGAAAGCGAATATAGTTGCGGATGCATTGAGCAAAAAGGCAATTCATATGTTGGCCTTGATGGTAAAAAAGATGGAGCTTATTGAGCAGTTTCGGGATTTGAGCATGGTTTGTGAGTTTACATCGGATGGTGTGATGTTGGGTAAATTGCAAGTAAAGAATGATTTCTTGTACATGATTAAGGAACATCAGAAATTGGATGTGAAACTGGTGGATTTGACGCGAGAAGCGGGAAGTGACTCCGGTAGTGATTTCAGGTTGGATAGTGCGGGTGTGTTGAGGTTTCGGGACAGAATTTGCGTGCTGGATAATGATGAGTTGAAGAAGTCGATTTTGGACGAAGGACATCGTAGTATCCTGAGTGTTCATCCAGGAGCTACGAAGATGTATCAGGACTTGAAAAAATTGTTTTGGTGGTCGGGCATGAAAAAGGATATTGCTCGGTATGTTTATGCTGGTTTGGTTTGTCAGAAGTCGAAGGTGGAGCATCAGAGACCTTCTGGGATGATGCAACCGTTAGAGATTCTGATTTGGAAGTGAGATTGTATTGCTATGGACTTTGTTACAGGTTTGTCGAATACGGTGAGAGGATTTGACGCCATTTGGGTGATTGTGGATCGGCTTACAAAGTTTGCACACTTTGTACCGATCAGTATTAGCTTTTCGTTGGAGAAGCTTGCATAGATTTATATTCGGGTGATTGTGAAGTTGCACGGTATACCGTTGAGTATTGTGTCGGATAGAGATCTGAGGTTCACTTCTGTGTTTTGGAAGAGTTTACAAGAGGCTTTAGGTACTGAGTTGAAGCTGAGTTCAGCTTATCATCCGCAGACGGATGGGCAGTCAGAACGGACTATTCAGACCTTGGAGGATTTGTTGCGGGCTTGTGTGTTGGAGAAAGCTGGTACGTGGGATACTCATTTGCCTTTGGTAGAGTTCATGTACAACAATAGTTAATTCCAGTATCGGGATGGCACCGTTCGAGGCTCTTTATGGTAGGAGGTGCAGGACTCCTTTGTGTTGGTACGAGTCGGGTGAGAATGTGGTTTTGGGACCAGAGTTGGTACAGCAGACTACTGAGACAGTGCAGATGATCCGTGAAAAGATGAAAGCATCTCAGGATCGGCAGAAGAGTTATTATGATAACCGCAGGAAAGAGTTGGAATTCAGTGAGGGTGATCATGTATTCTTGAGGGTTAACCCAGTGACGGGTGTTGGACGTGCTTTGAAGTCCAAGAAGTTGGATCCGAAGTTTATCGGACCATATCAGATCTCGCAGCGGGTTGGTACTGTGGCTTATAGGGTGGCGTTGCCGCCGAAGCTTTCGAACTTGCATGACGTGTTCCACGTGTCGCAACTTCGGAAGTATGTGCACGATCTGTCCCATGTGATTCAGAGGGATGAAGTCCAAGTTAGAGAGAATCTAACTATGGAGACGTTGCCGTTGAGGATCGAGGATCACAAGATGAAGCGACTCAGAGGGAAAGAGATACCGTTGGTGAGAGTGGCTTGGGGAGGTGCTGCAGGGGGCAGTGTAACCTGGGAACTGGAAAGCAGGATGCGGGAAGCGTATCCAGAGTTGTTTCCATCAGGTATTTTCGAGGACGAAAATAATTAAAGTGTGGAAGAGTTGTAACGCCCATTTTTATTATTTTTTGTTTTTGTGATTATTTTATTCGCGGGTGTATTTTGAGAATTATTGTAGAAGGTCAAGAGCTCATAATATTAATAAATTGTGATAAAATGTGATAATTGATAGTAATGTAAAAATTATTATTAATTATTATCATTATTATTGTTAATATTAATATAAATGAGAAAATGTTATTAATTGGATTTTTGGAATAAAAATATTATGAGGAATTATTATTAAAATGAGTTATTTGGATTAATAAGGGAATTATTGGAATTGAGGGCATTATTGGCAATTGGAAAGAAGAGGATAATACGTATGGTGAAGAACACGGTTGAGCAAGAGGAGAGCTACGCGATCAAGAACAACAACTTAGCAAGCGGATTTCGTGTAGATTGAAGAACTTGTTCATCATCAAAACTTGAATTGAGGTAAGGGGGGGGGGGATAATCGGTTAAATTTGGCAAATGCATGAATAATCGGTAGGAAGGGGGAAATCCCTAACCCCATAGATTTCTTGATGTTTGATGTCGATTGCATGTTGTTATTGTTGTGATTGTTGTGTTGTTTGATGTTCAATTCGTTGCATGTGCTGAGAATGTTAGACTCGGATGAGTTTTGGGAATTTCAGTTAAGTTCGAAGTTGAGCCGGAAGTTGGTTTTGAGAGCAGAGTTGAGGATTAGTCGGGAAGTAGACCCATAGTTCAGTTGTACTATGTTGTTGGTGGTGGGTTTCAATTTAATCGGGCGAAATCGGTGTGTGGGGGGTGACTCTGCAACTCAGAATTTTTCTGAGTACGCAGGTATTCGCTGGGTGAATGAGGGGCGAGCCTTCGCCAGGCAAACTAGCCAGCGACTGTTGGCAGAAGCTTCTGTTTGGCTTCGCCAGGCGAATGGCAGCGAGTGTTCGCTGCGGGGCTTTGACGGGCGAATGTGCCAGTGAGCCCGACAGCAGTTTGTGATTCTGCTGCTGTTTTGGTTTTGTCCCGCTGTGGATTTGGACCCTCGTTGGTCTTGTGCGATGGAAGGCTTGTTGGAGAGCTGAGGCAAGCGTATGTTGGTGGTTGTAGGACTGTTTAGCCGGCGTTTATCGCAAGTGGCCTAATTGGTGGAGTGTGCATTATGTATGAACCAATGTGGATGCGTACGTGAGATATGTGCACCGTATGCATGCTGTGATGTGAGGATCAGTATGATCGTGGCGCCTTGAGTGCGTTTTGTTGGTGTGTTGTGGTGAGTGGATCCATGAGGATCGATACGCTTATTATGCGTTGCAATTGTGTGCTGTCATGTGATGTATTTGGGTCAGTAGGACTGACATGCCTAGTGTGCATGGTATATGATAAATTGTGTGGTGAATGGATCTGTGGGATCGTCGTACTGTATGTGCTTATTATGTAGGTACTTTATGATGCGAGAAGATTCGTGGGATCAGTACGCCATGTGCGTCGTGTATATGTATATGTTGTGTGAGGGGTGGATCCATAGGATCGGTTTGCACTTGGTGTGCTAGAAGTATGATGTGTGTGAAAATGGTTGTGTGCTCCTGTAGAGGAGGGTGATGGCCCAGTGACCATCGGCATTGTTGTTGTGCTCCCTGTGGGGAGGGTGATGGCCATGTGTCCATCGATATTGATGAGATGCTCCCGTTGTGGAGGGTGATGGCCAGGTGTCCATCGATATTGATGAGGTGCTCCCGTTGTGGAGGGTGATGGCCAGGTGTCCATCGGAGATGTGCTCCCGTTGAAGAGGGTGATGGCTAGGTGTCCATTGGTATTGTTGTGGTGCTCCCATTGTGGAGGGTTGATGGCCAGTTGCCCATCAGTGTGGTGTGTTCCCTGAGTGGAGGGTTGATGGCCAAGTACCCATCGTTGATATGTGCTCCTGTGTGGAGGGTTGATGTCCAGTTGCCCATCGTGATTGTAGTCGGTGTCGTATGTTAAGAGTGGTGTGAGTGCATTGGTAGAGTGATTGTATATTGTGGGTGATGGTGGGACCGTGAGTTCGGATGATATGTATATGAAATAGTATTATTATTGATTTCTGCCTTTTATTTCATGTACTATTATGCCATTATTATTTAATCGTGATTCTCACCCCTTTTTTTGCTGTTGTGGTCTGTGCCTCTTCGGAAGTACAGACAATCCAGGTGTTTAGCTTGTTGGATTGTGGTGTCTTCGTAGGACTGCTCTGATACGTAACACCGGGGCGTTTTGGGGAGTTTTACTGTTGATGTTGATATGTGTGCCCCTGTGGGGTATCTGACTTTTGTATATGTGTGGCGAAATGTGATGATGATATGTATTTTGGGCAGGTAGCCAACGTTGTACATATGATGGATATGGATGATGTGTATATATGATATTTTGGGTTATGACAGACCATATCTTTTCTGCTGCAATTTTATTTGAAAAATTCAGTTAAATTAACTTGGAAAAATGTTTTGTGGAATGGTAGTGTGAATTGTGACATCCTGTTGTGGGAGATACTCTGATGTGTGCTTATTTAATTGTTTTATTTTATTTTGGGGAAACGGGGTGTTACACTGGTATCCGAGTTTAACAACAAAGGTAGAGACAAATAGATATTTATAATTGAGTTTTATGACTGGTTAATCAATTGTGAAAGGAGTGTGCTCCTTTGAGATTCTTTTGTACTTTTGTTTCTCTTTTGGTGTTGAATAAAGAGTTATATTCTTTACTTGATCCTAACAGATGTAAATTTTGCATTGTAGGTGTATATAGGCCTCACTATGAGTAGAGCATTTTCATCAAAGAAAGCTTCCTGTTTGCCTCCACCACCAACGCCGACAACTACAACTGCGAAGTCGAGTTCAAACAGGAGGCAAATTCCTCGAAGCCCTTTACAGGATCTCTACCGCATTTCCAGCAGCAACAACGGTAGTGATGCTTCTTCTTCCGTCTCCACTAAAGTCCCAAAGGGTTGCCTCAGGTTCTTGGCTTCTTCTTCTTTCAAAACCCCTATGAATAGACCAAAAAATATCACCAAAACACCCAATTCAGCATCTCATGGACTTGTATTAAAACAACCTAAGTCCAATTCCTCGAAGGAGAATCATCCAAATGGCGATAATATTAGGCTGCAAACCAAAACAGTTGTACCAAATAAAGCTAGGAAAAATCCACTATGTCTCTACCAGTGGCAGTCTGGTAAGAAAACTGGTTCTAGGACTGGCCAAAAGTCTAAGCTTAGTTTGGCTTTGAATGAAAATGGAAAAAAATTATCTACACCGAAGGAATCAAAGAAAAAAGAGGATATTAATGTTGTTGAGTCTTCCCGTCTCAAATCATCTTACAGCTAGTTTTTTTTTGTGAGCATAGCACGCTGCTGCTACTGGACTGCACATGATTTATGAGCAGGCTTGTCGTGTTAGTCGTCATTTTTTTATATATTTATATACTGTCAGAAATATTGTCTATACCTTATCTTGCTGTTGAAGCTTCTCAAACATTTGAGAGAGCTGTAACACGAGGTGCAATAGGTGCTTAGTCTGTAGCCCTGGTGTTGGAAAGTCTTCTTTCCTGAAGATTGAACAATAATACAGAACCGATAATTTTCAACATTCATATAGTGCAACATAGGAGGATGCCTGTGAGCAATTGGGAGTTCATGGTACTTTATAACATCTCAAGTTGAGCCGGTCTGATATCAAATTAAAGGCTAAATGGTTTACTGCAAATGAATGTGTCTGGATCCTTACTTTTACTCCTTGTTTATGCTTCTATGTTATGTGTACTCAACCGAGTTTAGATACTAATCTGATGCAATAATATTTTTGCAAGGGAACCAATCTCGGTGCTAGATGGAGCACCTGTTGCCATAATGGAACAGAGGCCAGAGCTCCTGCTTACAGAAACCAAGATAAAACTTTCTCTACAGACCAAAGGGGTAGAAAGGTAGGCACACAATTAAAGTCATCTAGTAATCTCTGAGAAACTTCATCCTGCTCACTAGCATCTATCTCAGCTTTGAGAGAACTCACATAGATTACCTCAATATCAGAAGGAAAAAACCATCTTTTAATTGCAACAGAATTGAATCTTCACCCCAACTGAAACATCACCTAGCAGTATCAATATCTCTTTTAGCCTGCAGGGGCAACATGTTTTCCACAATGATTATCGACTATGTAGTATTGTTGTGCAATAATTTTATTTAAAAATGAATGACTTTTATATATATATATATATATATATATATATATATATATATACTATATATATATATATATATATATATATATAGTATATATATATATATATATATAATATATATATATATATATATATATATATATATATATATATATATATATATATATATATATATATATATATTATATATATATATATATATTATATATATATATATATATATATATATATACATATATATATATAAGTATATATATATATATATATATATATATATATATATATATATATATATATATATATATATATATATATATAGTATATATATATATATATATATATATATATATATATATATATATATATATATATATATATATATATATATATATATATATATATATATATATATATATATATATATATATATATATATATATATATATATATATATATATATATATATATATATATATATATATATATATATATATATATATATATATATATATATATATATATATATATCAGTTCACTCTAGTAAAGTATAATTCTTTATTTAAGATAGTACTCTTTATGGAAAAAATGTTGGTATTTAAGATAATACTCTTTATGATTGTATATTTTTTCAACGAAAAATGTTGGTATTGTCAGTATTATATTGGGATGGACAAGCACTAAATTAGAGGCTTTGGTATGTAGCCCTGAATTTTCTTTTTTGGTTTCCTGTTACATTTTACAGTCTCTTATATTCCCTTATGCCTTAATGAATTAAATGGTTGTAGAGAGAAGAAATCAGATTCATGATTGAAAGAGATGGTTATGCAAAAGGGATTGTTTTTAGCCGGTTCACATTATTCGTAGATCTTATATGCTACTCTTTGGATAAGGTAAATTAATTTTAAACTTCTATTCTATTGATATATGTAAAATGCATCAGTATGATGGAAAATTCATTAACTGCAGTCTGGAGTATCTCGCGTTCTGTTGAATCAAAACATGTCATGGGCCGAACGGGATGTTGTTGTTAATAGATTTAATGTTGATCCAGACTGCAAAATTTTTGTTATGACCTCTGAGGCTGGTGGTATTGCACTCAATTTGACAGCAGCATCACATGTGAGCATTTTCATCTTGCTTTTAAATTCAAATGAAATAGGGTAGTTAAGTTTCCTTGGAATTGGAATTAAGCTAAAATTTATGTTGGTTTGTTGGATGTGGACAGGTTTTCATTATGGACCCTTGTTGGAATCCAGCTTTAGAGCTTCTGGCTCTAGACAGAATTCACGGAATTGGGCAATATAAAACTACAAGGTTTTGTTCTTGCTCTTTAGCATTCTCATGTTAAGAAAATGAAAGTAACAACCTATGTAGCACAACGAAAGCGTGTCCCGTGTCCATCTGTCTTTGCTTCATTGTAAAAACCGTGTCTTCATGAACTGACACTTTTTTTTCTTAGAGTTGTGAAGTTTGTCATTGCAGACACAGTCGAGGAGAAGATTTTGAAGATAACGGAGAATATGAAACTAGTTGTTCAAGTGTAAGTGTAATGTGTAAAATATAGAGTTGAAAGTTGATCGAAATGGTTCTTCTGAAACTATAGAGCAATTGTCAAGTGGGGACTTTGAAGTCTATATTAGCTAAATGAGTGTAGAACAAAAATGTATTGTGTATGATGTATGAGCATCTATATCGAATAATATATGAACTTCGAGTGTTTAAAAGCACACAGTCTTCTTCATCTCTCATTCTTAACAAACATATTTTACAAAATATTAGTTTCGTTGTACCATCCTAACATCCAATTATTCTATTCACACTTTTTTTGGTGTGTTTAAAGTAAATGTAACTTGACACTAAACTTCTATCATACACAACACTAATAGGACTTTTATATCATTCTCATCATTTCCTTTCATCCTGCAATTCTAAGGTAGAAGTGGATGACATATGGAGAAGGAGGTACTGCTTGAGCGACAATAGCTTCTGGTTTGGTTAATTGTGGAATCCTAAAGGTCAGTGCTAGATCACAGTCACAAGGTGAATACTATAGAACCATTCATCGCCTTTTTGATGACTTAGTTTGAGCTTGATGCATTACCCAAGGTGAATACTATTCAATGAGTCTTATGTTTAGGTTTCATTAGCTTATGGACCATGTTTATGGATAATATGATATCAAAATACATTCTAAACCTAAATCCATTATTCCAATTGTTCTAGGCATGATAATTCTTATTATTTTACTCTCTATGTTACTGTATTATAGTGTTCATAGAAAAAGAACTTTGAAAAGAGAGATGGAAAGTTCATTGGTCTTAACCTTGGGCAGCCCTGATCATTATTTTCAGCTCCGGTGTTTTGGCATTCTGCCTTAACTTCTCTATTTTTTATGTGATTCACTCCACTATGGCTGTTACATTTAATGTTGCTGGAAACCTTAAGGTGAGATCAGTCCGGCAGATTCAAATCCACTATACTATTTGCTATTTGGTCTTACATTATGATTCTTTCATCATATTTATGGTCAATTGGTTCATTTCATGTATATCACACACTGATGGTGTGTGTGAACAGTGCAACCAAACTGTGATGTCTTACAAATTTTGTTTCAATGTTTTTGATTTGTTTATGAATTTGATATTTTGTTAAAATTGAAGTAACTATTAAGTTTTCATTTTGCATGAAAAGATAGCATCTTCCATTTTTGTTAGGCTTGATCCGTCATTATATCGCTAAAAATTTAATTTTTACGCACTTGTTTGTTGCGTGCTTGTCAAAATAGTATGTATCTGAGGCTATGAGTTTGACAACCTTTGTTTGATGTGTCCAAATTTGCGAGTCTTATAAATGTTTAGATAGTCCCGCTAAAGTTTAGGTAGTAAGGATCCATTTCAAATGTGATTTATGTGTGTATGTCTAGAAGTGGTGCACATTTATCAGAGTATAATAACTAGCATTTGTCCCTGTAATAGTTAATTACAACCGATTATAACACCATAAATGGATAACAAGTTCAGTTGTTGAACATTAGTTTTCCTGAAAAATCAATGTGAAATTGTTTGCTTGAACTTCTTGCAATCCATGTAAACAGTACATCATTCTATATATCCTTGATGGCTAAGGCTTAGCTTGTTTACTTGCAAATTACAATTCCAGAACTTCTGAAATTGCAAATCTGTAATTCACTTTTTTATGATGAACACAACTTGCAGATATGACATGTCTTCAAACCGTTGGGAATACGAGTCTCGTGTGCCAAAAAAAGCCCCCCTTGGTTCAGCCTTTGGCATTGTAGTAGCATCTGGCGAGGTGTATATATTGTCACATTTGTATGATGATGATTTCGTAGAAACTCGAAGGTCCAGACCCTATAAGTAGACAAGAATCATGTGCTTTCAAATCTATAATCCGAAAAAGAAGATGTGGAGATTACTGGTCACAAAATCGCCTTTCACTCGCCATATAAATATTACCAGTGCTGTATTGAGCTCAATTCATCTGTGAATTGTGGTGCATCTTATTTATCTGTATAGTTTAGGCATCTGCCAAATTCATTGTGCAGCATAGTATCATTTGACCACTGGGTTCCATGAAGGTGGCTTATATTTGTATATTTATGTGTTTAGTGTATTACTCGACTTGATCAGGGTATAGTTTATAGTAATCTGCATATTTATCAGCTGTTACTAAAGTGTGTTAAACCTGAAGTATTCAATATGTATGTAATGGATATAGAAATGATTTTCAAATATTTTACCTGCTTAGTTATTATTATTTTATGAATTCTAATGTTGTAAAATGCAAATGTCATACATATATATATATATATATATATATATATATATATATATATATATATATATATATATATATATATATATATATATATATATATATATATATATATATATATATATATATATATATATATATATATATATATATATATATATATCCAAAAGAATGATTTTGTGTAAAAAAAAGTGTACTACAATAGCGTTTTAAAGAGAGAGTGTTATTAACGATACGTACTATAATAGCACTTTTATGGAAAAGTGCTATCTAATATGTGTCTTATAATAGCGCTTTATTTGAATGTGCTATCAAAATCAAAGCAAATTACCGGTACTATAATAGCGCATTG